ATGGCTCCCCCCCCCCCCCAGGGGCGGACTGACCATTCAAGCACTCGGGCACTGCCCGAGGGCCCGGGGTCAGTAGGGGGCCCATGAGATGCCCCTGGTACCTTTTTCATACGCTTTTTTGGGTGTGGGCAAGGACACAGGGGCCTCATGATCCCCTATTGCCCGGGGGCCCCATGAGTTGTCAGTCCACCCCTGCCCCCCCCCCCAATAAACATTTCTTCCCTTTCTGGTGGAATCCAGGAATAATCACCCGGAAACTAGTTGATCACACGCTTCATCGCTGCTGTTTTTCTCTCCCCAGACCAGGAGTTTTCTAATACTGAGTCTTTCTTTCAGTGCCGGGTGCTGGAACATGGGGAGCATTTTCAGAAATCGGCATCCACACACTACCACTCTACTGCCTAACTGGGGCCCAATAGCTCTCAGGCCGCAAACCTGCGACAGTGGCCGCAATCGACTCTGCAGCTTGAGGATCAGAGACCTGAAGGTCCAGTATCAGAGCACCAAACGTAAAGCGATAGTATAAAAAAATCAGTAAAAAAATTCAATTGTAAAAGTGTTTATCACTTCCGCCTGGCAGTACTAGGGTCATTGGTTCAAATCCCAACCACGGCACCACCTGCCTGGAATTTTCATGTTCTCCCTGTGCCTGCGTGGGTTTCCTCCGGATACTTCAGTTTTCTCCCACACTCCAAAGACATGCCGGTAGGTGAATCGACTCCTGTCTAAATTGGCCCTAGTATGTGTATGTATGAATGTAAGTTAAGTACCTGTAATAAATAAATAAATAAATGGCAGAGATACGTCCACGATGTGGCATACACATAATCCATTGTAAGTCAGCACCAGGGGTGGACTGACCATTTGGAAACTCGGGCACTGCCCGAGGGCCCGGGGTCAGTAGGGGGCCCCATGAGATGCCCCTGGTTCCTTTTTCATAGGCTTTTTTGAGTTTGGGCAAGGACACAGGGGCCCCATGATCCCCTATTGCCCGGGGGGCCCCATGAATTGTCAGTCCGCCCCTGGTCAGCACATTTTAATAGTGACCCAATTCCTGCAGTTCTTTCCTAAATTGGTATTAAAGCCAAAAGTAAATACTTATTATTTTGCAGCTTACCATTCCTTAGATGTGCTGGCCACATTAGTTTTCTTTTTTAGGCTTTTTTTCCTTCTATTTTCACCTGGTGATCTGGCCAGTAAGTCTGTTGTTTTTCAAAAGAACACGTTGTCTTGGAGAGCGATGAGACCAACTATTTACCACTGACACAAGAGCTTACAATGGACAGCTATTATTTATATCAAATCTTTATCTCAAAAGGAAAAATTTTTTTTAGCTGTGACTGACTATAAAGTGTAAGCTGGAGTTTGGCTTCAATTTGTTAGTGTATCAAAATCTGCTAATACATCTCCCTTGCTCTAGATCAGGGGTCTCCAAACTTTTTCAAACAAAAGGGCCAGTTTAATGTTCTTACACTTTAGGGGGTGTGGATTGAGACCAATGGGGGTAGAAAATGTCCCATGCCAAACATTAGTGAGAACAAACATGGCCTCAGGGTTGGTGGACAGTAGGAGGATGAGTAGTGCCCCATCATTGGTATCAGTGGGAGGAATAGTGTCCCATCATTGGTGTCAGTGGGAGGAATAGTGCCCCATCATTGGTGTCAGTGGGAGGAATAGTGCCCCATCATTGGTATTAGTGGGAGGAATAGTGCCCATCATTGGTGTCAGTGGGAGGAATAGTGCTACATCATTGGTATCAGTGGGAGAAATAGTGCCCCTCATTGGTATCAGTGGGAGGAATAGTGCCCCATCATTGGTGTCAGTGGGATGAATAGTGCCCCATCATTGGTATCAGTGGGAGGAATAGTGCCCCATCATTGGTGTCAGTGGGAGGAATAGTGCCCCATCATTGGTGTCAGTGGGAGGAATAGTGCCCCATCATTGGTGTCAGTGGGATGAATAGTGCCCCATCATTGTTGTCAGTGGGAGGAATAGTGCCCCATCATTGGTGTCAGTGGGATGAATAGTGCCCCATCATTGGTATCAGTGGGAGGAATAGTGTCCCATCATTGGTGTCAGTGGGATGAATAGTGCCCCATCATTGCTGTCAGTGGGAGGAATAGTGCCCCATCATTGGTATCAGTGGGAAGAATAGTGCCCCATCATTGGTGTCAGTGGGAGGAATAGTGCCCCATCATTAGTGTCAGTGGGAGAGATAGTGCCCCATAAATGCTGTCAGTGGGAAGAATAGTGCCCCATCATTGGTGTCAGTGGGAAGAATAGTGCCCCATAATTGGTGTCAGTGGGAAGAATAGTGCCCCATAATTGGTATCAGCGGGGAGGAATAGTGTCCCATCATTGGTGTCAGTTGGATGAATAATGCCCCATCATTGGTGTCAGTGGGAGGAATAGTTCCCCATCATTGGTATTAGTGGGAGGAATAGTGCTCCATCATTGGTATCAGTGGGGAGGAATAGTGCCCCATCATTGGTGTCTCTGGGAGGAATAGAGCCCCATCATTGGTATCAGTGGGAGGAATAGTGCCCCATCATTGGCTGTTAGTGAGAGGAATCGTGCCCCATCATTGGTATCAGTGGGAGGAATAGTGCCCCATCATTGGTGTCAGTGGGAGGAATAGTGCCCCATCATTGTTATCAGTGGGAGGAATAGTGCCCCATCATTGGTGTCAGTGGGAGGAATAGTGCCCCATCATTGGTGTCAGTGGGAGGAATAGTGCCCCATCATTGGTATCAGTGGGAGGAATAGTGCCCCATCATTGGTGTCAGTGGGAGGAATAGTGCCCCATCATTGGTGTCAGGGGAGGAATAGTGCCCCATCATTGGTATCAGTGGGAGGAATAGTGCCCCACCATTAGTGTCAGTGGGAAGAATAGTGCCCCATAAATGGTGTCAGTGGGAAGAATAGTGCCCCATCATTGGTATCAGTGGGAGGAATAGTGCCCCATAATTGGTGTCAGTGGAAGGAATAGTGCTCCATCATTGGTATTAGTGGGATGAATAATGCCCCATCATTGGTGTCAGTGGGAGGAATAGTGCCCCAGCATTGGTATCAGTGGGAGGAATAGTGCCCCATCATTGGTATTAGTGGGAGGAATAGAGCCCCATCATTGGTGTCAGTGGGAGGAATAGTGCCCCATCATTGGTGTCAGTGGGAAGAATAGTTCCCCATCATGTTTTTTGATGCATTTTGCGTGGGTTTTTTTTTTCATTTTTTTTCTTTTTCTTGCAGCTAGGCAGATTTAAAGCACAAAACGCCAAATGCATCAAGAAAGCTGCAAAAACAGAGCAGAAACACACTACATGTTTTTCTGCAGCATCTCCATTGAAGTCTATAGAAGAAAAAAATGCAACTTTTTGTGTTTCAAAAAAGTCCCTGACCCTTTCCAAAAAAACGCACCGGGTGAAAATGTGGAGATGTGAATGTGTCTCATAGGAAATCATGTTAAATGGACTGCACTTCATTTCTGGAAAACGCTGCGGAAAACCCTTAGGTGTGAACCTGGAGTTAGAAAAACACCCCCTAGCATTTCTGGCTATGGCCATCATGAGTAAGGGCAAATGATTCATGTAGCAATTACTTCCTGGAAGTAATTTCTGCAATATTTTTTTTCAGTTACTTCCTGGTTTCTAGGCCAGGCAAATGATGTCATACATCGCAGGAGTCTTTGAGAGTGGAACAGAGGCTTTCTCAGCTAAGCACACCCTCCTGCCTGCCTGAGCTAAGGGCAGATGGATTCCAGGAAGTAAAAGCTATGTGAATCATCTGCCCTTACTCAAGATGGCCAAATGCTAGGGAGCGTTTTTCAAAGCGATTACTCATCAAAATAAAGCATGGAGACCAGGATGGATGGCTGGATGATGGGGAGTTTGCTTTGAATATTAAAAATGAATCAAATAGCATTTTTAATTTGTGGTGCTCAGATACAGTGCAGTTCCACTTTAATGCAGGCCATAGACGGGTCTAAAAAACGGGTTTAAAAAAAAAAACAACTGAAAAATCAGTCGTTCAATAGGCCAACGTTACCACCAATGGTAAAAAAATTTTCGTACCGTCTACGGACGGCATTTAATTACTTCTGTCCCTGCAGAGAGCCCCGCTATTATATTTGACATGAAAAGTATTGAGGTTGCAACAATGTATCCATTTGTATCCATTTCAGATACAGATGGTTTTATTTGGATACAAATGGATACATTGTTGCAACCTCAATACTTTTCATGTCAAATATAATAGCGGACTGGAATTCTTCTTCTTTTCTTCTTCTTGCAGGTCACGGCTCATGCGCACATTTTTTATCAGTAAAACGATCGGCCGATTTGCCCATCATTGCCGGGAAAATCGGCTGATCGGTAAAATCGGCCAATTTTTTTGCAAAAATGTGCCAAAACCCCGAAAAACGACCAACCAATTAACCCATTAAT